TTTTATTTTTTTATCAATTTTAATTGTTAAATATATGTCCATTATAAATTTTATTTATTTATTTATTTGCAACCTACCTTTCATGCCGAGTCGAACTTTAAGCTCATCTGTTTTTTCTTTTGTCTTTCAGGTACAATTGATATTTCCTTTATTGATATTTTATCTATATGTAACTGGAACCTGTCAACACGGTGATCTGCGAGGAAGAATTGTGCACTAAAATAAATTTGCAATTGCTACTGGATGGAATTTTATATTAAGAATTTCACAATTGTTATTCTAGAAGTGTTGATAAGGTTTTACATATTGCATTTCTTGAAAGAGCTGTTTTTCTGTTAGGTAATAATCTTTTATATTTAAGTTTTTAAATACCAGTGTTTATGACAGAAAGATTAGTTTAGGTAAGCATATTTCATTTTAAGCCATTGCCTATAACTTGTACTCAAGGGTATTTGTGTTTACTTGAAAAAGAGAATGTCACTGTATCATTTTTGAGATTTTTTTCACAAAACATTCCGGTTTATTTGAAAATTGTGATTAAAAACACATAGTATGTAAGTGCATGTAAAAGTGATGTTGAGTGTAATTCCAAAGCAAATATGTTGATTGGTGTTTTTGTATCTGAATGTTGCTGTTGTCTCATGTAAAAATGAAACTTTGCTTTGGAATACAGTGATTGTTTTATATTAGTCAAATAGAACATTTACTTCATTTGATTAGGTCAGAGAAGATATTATATAAAGTAGTTAGGTAGGTAGGTACCAGCAAATACATAATATGTTTTGACTGTCAATTCTTTATTCTTTGCTATGATCAGTGTATGTATATTATTTTGAATAAAGGTTGACAATATTTTCTTTATGTACAGATTTCCTTATATCTAGTCAGGTACGCATTCAATGTTTTTGGATCAGACATTTAGTTTTGAATACAGTGGTGTTTTACAAAGGAATACAGAGGGATGGGGTGTCAAGTTTACAATTCTTTTAAATATCTTATTACTATTTCTTTATTTAGTAATTAAAGAGTATTAATACACAGGTATCATTAAAATCTAACTAATCAACACTACTGATGGTAGTGTTATTTTGATTTTTAAAACTTACTACGATTACTTATTTATTTTGTAACAAGATTAGTTATGAGAACACAGGTATAATTAAAATCTAATAAACTTCTGCTGTTCCTTACATAAATAATAAGCCCCCCCCCAAAGTTTAAATGTTTAAAACCACCCAAAATTTTCTCTCAATCCATGCCTTTCACTAATTTGTGTATGGCCAAAACTTCTCTCTTACTTGTCAAGACCAATGTAAAAGTGTAAGAGTACATGTGACACAGAATAAGTTTATCAAGAGGTAGAAACCACTGCAGTAGTGTAAATATAAAATAAAGGTCATAAGTTAGCTTACAAAGATTTTATGTAAAAAATAATATAAGGAGTATGTTTATAAATAAGTACTTTACAATCTTTACAAGTCTACAAAATAATTTAAATATAATTACATATTTTAAAGCCATATGCTCTATTCTAATGATATGCATCAATGTGACAATTAAGAGTAAATAAAGTGCAGTGTGATAATTTCAGAGCTGTTAGTACAGAGGAGTGTGACAATACATACACTTTTATTGTAACATTTACACTAGGGATATATCCCTCCAATCCCATGCCCATTGTTGCCATTGAAGACAGGGACCCAGTGCTGGGGATCATCCCTGCCATGGGCCTCAGTTC